TTTGTACTGCGTCCTAGATTAGCATTTTACTTGCATTGCAAAATATACCACATGTATCGCTGCATAAATATGTATATCACGCCGAATGAGGGAAAAAGTATACTTAAATTATAAAATAACTCAATAATAATGCTCTCAGTGATGCATTTTCTGTTTACGAAAATCTTGTATGATATTCTCCAAAATTAGCTCCGAGGAACTTAAAGTGAAACACCTTCTTACAGCTCTTGTTAAATTAAAAAAAAAATGGTTCAACTCCAGAATAATAAAATAAAATCATGTATAGAATGAAGAAAATAAATATTTATTTATTCCTATCACGAATATTCTGTCGGAATCAAATTATAAGTACTCGAATGCCTACAACTTGTACTTTTAGCTAAGTGTTTGGCCAATCTTCTCCAATTTGTGGGTCGTGTCTTGATTTAGGTAACTCGTCACAAAATAGTATGGTAATATGTATATATCATATATGTTTATTATTGTATATGACTATAATTTATATTAGAAGTCATATTAATTTATAAAACATGTTTCACCATTTAAATTTATATATCTAAATATATGTGTTTTTACGTTTAATATGGTTTTAATTTGACTAAATTATTTCATTACACATATTATTTACATCGCTTCGCCTTGTAAACAATAGCACTAATTAGTATTACTAAAATGAAAAATACAATTACGTTAAGTTTTATTAATATAGTGAAGCAAATCTTTAATATTTCATACATTCAGTGCTAAAAATTTTCACCGCATTAAACACACCCTAATTGCCGAAAAAGCGTTGTCTGCAACCCTAATTCCTTTATGGGGACCAAATTTGGCGAAAAAACAACTCAGTTTGTTTACTGGATATACTGAGCCATCAATAGTGGCACCTTCGATGGATTTTGAGGAAATTAACTTTAATTTAGTTTGCTGGGTTGGAGCTGCTTCGGCCGATGGAGTAAAAGGCGAAAAGCTTATATTCTTCCCTTGTCCCTCCTACGCGTTTTGACACTCTCGTGTCATCTTCAGGGAGTCTTTTTAGTTGTTT